TTTGTTGCAGCAATCACTTTGCCGGGCGAATTACTTATAGCTTGACATGGTAACTTCCTAGCGATTTTTGAATTTCGAATTTTCTTTGCGTGTAATGTAATGGAATAATTCTCAGGCATTTGACCAACATACGATGTGTTCTAGTGTTTTGGGTGTAATTGTATTATGCTTGTTTAGGCACGTTTCAAGAAAATTTGCTTCCCGCTTGAGATTTAAATTCACAAAGTGTAGATAATTATGATGCTGTTTTGGTTTAATGTAGTTACATTAGCATATAACAGGACCCAAATTTTGGGTTTTGTTTTAAGGTTGTCGGTGGACCTGAATTTGTTCATATGTGGTAACCTAGTTTGTTATCTGATTCATGTGTTGTGTTTGAACTTGAATATAGCGGAGAGAGCAACCCCAGTCTCCTTGCCTAACTGATGTGGAACCAGACAGACTCAGTTGCTTACCAGGACACATAATAGACCAAATTCTGTCACATTTGTCAATTAGAGAAGCAGTGAGAACAAGTGTTTTGTCTAGCAAATGGAGGTACAAATGGGCCATGCTGCCGAATCTTGTGTTCGATAAGGAATGTGTCACTGTGGCTTCTCAGGACCATATGATTATCAAGAGCAAGCTTTTGAGAATTATAGATCATGTACTGCTACTCCATTCTGGGCCAATCAACAGGTTCAAGCTCTCCCACCGCGATCTCATTGGTGTGGCTGATATTGATCGATGGACACTTCATCTATGCAGAAAGTCTATTAAAGAGTTTGTGCTGGAAATCTGGAAGGGCCAACGCTATAAGATACACTCGTGTTTGTTTTCTTGTCAAAGTTTGACACATTTAGAATTATTTAATTGTTGGCTTAAACCTCCATCAGCATTTCAAGGCTTCAAGAACTTGAAGAGTCTCGATCTGCAACATGTTACCTTGGCTCAAGATGTTTTTGAAAACTTGATAACCAGCTGCCCTCTGCTTGAACGGTTGACATTGATGAACTTTGATGGTTTCAGTCATCTTAATATTGATGCTCCGAATCTCCTGTTTTTTGACATTGGAGGTAAATTTGAGGATATCAGCTTTGAGAATACTTTCCAGTTAGCTGTGGTATCCATCGGTTTGTATTTGAATTTCGAAATCAATCAAAGTAGATTCCATGGAAGTTCTAGCAATATGCTAAATTTTTTTGTTCACCTGCATCACGTACAAAGGCTAGAGGTTCAAAGCTATTTTTTAAAGGTACGATGCTCATAGTCATAGTATCACTTTGCCAAAGCATTTCTTCTAGTTCTGTGAATAATGTCAATTTCTTGATCCCTTAAATGTTGAATAAGACTATAGGACTGCCATAATATAGTTTTTTCCCCTACGAACAAACCATGCTCATGTGTGTGCCTTTATTCGTATTTAAGTATTAAATACATTATATACTGATTACTGACGTGAGCCATTCTTCTGTTTCTTGGTTCTGCTCCAGTATTTGGCAGTGGGGGTTGTGCCAATAAAGCTTCCAAGACCTTGCATGGATCTAAGTTATCTTTCAATACGAATGAACTTCAATGATTCGAAGGAAATTTCAGCTGCTCTTTGCCTCTTAAGAAGCTCGCCTAATCTACAAGAACTAGAAATATTGGTAAGTACTCCTTATAAGTTACTTAGTGTAACTTATCTTTGCTTAATGTTGACTGTCTTGTAGTTGCACGTACTGATTTTGTTTTTTCAAAGTAGTTTAGGGTGTGTTTGGGTGAACTTATCCATAAGCACTTCTAGGAGAGAAAATTAGGAAGGAAAAATGATATAAGGTTATTCACAAATTAAAATTAGTTTATATATAAGTTAATTTGTAAAATCTCTCTTTTATTAACTTCTCCAAAATCTTATTTTTAATTTATACATAAGATAGTTTTAACTTATGGAGAAACTTATTTCAATTTCTTATCATATTTTTTTCTCCTAGTTGTACTTCTGGAGAAGTTTATCTAAATAGACTCTTAGTTTTGTGCATTTGTGGGGTATCTTTAAGTTGTGGATATAGTCTTTTAGGGGTATGGGTTTCTAAGTAAACCAGTTGCACTGGTGAATTGTGATTGCATGCAGGCTCGAACTGAGGAGCAGACTGTTCTGTCACACACATGTTGGGAAGACGTGTATTTGAGTTGTCCAGTCATGCAACTGCGATATGTGAAGATAGATGGTATATCTGGTATCAAACGAGAATTAGATTTTATCTACTTTCTGCTTCTATACTCACCTGTGCTAGAAAGGATGACTGTGAAACCTGTTTCAAACGTGGGATCAGAACTGATGAAAGAACTCTTGCGGTTTAGAAGAGCCTCAGGACGAGCTGAAATTATTTACTTGGAATGCTAATGCTTTTATTGAATTCTTAAATGTATATATATAATATAATATATAACCATTTTGTCCTTTTAAATTTTTAATTGTGGTGGTGAGTGCATACCATGGTAACTATTAACCCTTGGCAGTCTATGGTAGGGGAAGGGTTTTCTGAT